TTGAGATGGAGTTTCGCTCTTGTTGCCCAGGCTGGAGTGCAATGGTGCAATCTTGGCTCATCACAAGCTCTGCCTCCCAGGTTCAAGCGATTCTTTTGCCTCAGCCTCCTGAGTAGCTGGGATTATAGGCGTGCACCACCACGCCCGACTAATTTGTATTTTTAGTAGACACAGGGTTTCTCCATGTTGGTCAGGCTGGTCTCAAACTCCCGACTACAGGTAATCTGCCCTCCTCAGCCTCCCAAAATGCTGGGATTACAGGTGTGAGCCACCGCGCCCGACTGACCTCACCTTTTTATAGCACATCCTGTGAACCAGCATTATCCCATTCAATCCCCACAGCAACTTGGTGAGGCGGCTGCTGTTCCAATCCCCATTTTACAGATGAGGAAACCGAGGTCCAGAGTTAGAGGGCTTCTCCAGGGCCTCTGCTTCCTGAGCCAATCTGTGATGGAGACGCCCCCAGAGAAGCCTCCAGGGGCTGGAAGCGTGCCCTAAGACTGGACGCAGAAGGAGGCTCATGAGATTTTTTTCTGCTCTTTCAGAAATGGCTGAGCGACACAACACCAAGCAAGTCCTGAAGCTGGCACGGGACCTCGTGTACAAGGTGCAGACTCTGATTGAGAACAAGTGAGGGGCACCTCACCCAGGCAGCCTCAGCCAAGCTGCCCCACCTGTTCCTCTGCTTATTTTTCCTCCTGGCTGGACGGTCACCCCAGGAGCGGGGTCCTGGTGTCTGTTCACAAGCATGGAGTTCAGTGCAAAAAGAAAATACCGTGACTTTCACTTCTGGGCAGATGGGGTGGAGGGAGTACCCCTTCAATTTAGCCTTACGTTTTCCTGTTTGACCAAAGATTGCCCAAGTCTGGCGTTCCTCCCTTGCAGGAGGTAGGGGATGTTGGTGGACGAGGAGCCATCGTTGTTTGCTGGTGTCCAGAATGGTCTCCTCTTCTTCTTTCCCTATCCCTCCAAACTGTCTTGTAAGATGAGACCTGGGAAGGCAATTTCTTTTTGGAAATTGGTGTAGAAGAGGTGTGCGGGGCTACCTCTGTGCTCCTCGGCAAGGGGCCTTTGGCGATATTCTGGACATGGCTAGAGATTGACCCTCCACGTCGACATGACTGACATTTGCAGCCAGGTGATTCTTTTTGAGGGGACTGTCTTCTGCATTGTAGGATGCTGAGCAGCATCCCTGGCCTCACCAGATGCCAGTCGCACCATCCCCCACTCACACCCCAGTTGTGACAACCCCCAAAAATGTCTCTAGACATTGCCAAATGTTCCCTGCAGGGCAAAGTTGCCCCCATTTGAGAACCACTGGCTTGGAGGAGGGACTACAAATGACTTGCTCCCCCATTCTTTTGATGCTAAACCACCCTGGTCCTGAGGCCTCCCCTCACTTAGAAAAGGCACACAGGAGGCCCGGCGCGGTGGCTCACGCCTGTAATCCCAGCGCTTTGGGAGGCCGAGGCAGGCGGATCACAAGGTCAGGAGTTCTGAGACCAGCCTGGCCAACATAGTGAAACCCTGTCTCTTCTAAAAATACAAAAAATTAGCTGGGCGTGGTGGCGGGCGCCTGTAATCCCAGCTACTTGGGAGGCTGAGGCAGGAGAATCGCTTGAACCTGGGAGGTGGAGGTTGCAATGATCTGAGATCACACCACTGCACTCCAGCCCGGGTGACAGTGTGAGACTCTGTCTCAAAAAAAAATAAAAAAAGAAAAGGCACACAGGAGTCCCTCACACATCTCTCTTGGAGTCTGGGATTCCATCTGTTGTATTTTCTCCTTTTTTTCTCCTCTGTGTGATGCCAGAAGATACTCGTTTTCTTCTTTTCAAGAAATGCATCTCCCCACATAGGGAGTGGACCCAAAAAGTGTCTGTAGGCATGAGACGGTCAGAGCTCTTTGGGGTCCTGCTGAGAGCCCCCCAGGCCGGGCAGAGTCTGTATCCTGCTGCCATCTTGCAAGGGAAAACTGCCTTTCCTTCCAAGTATTGGGTCTTAGAAATGTGTGTGTTTGGTGAAAGCTGCTTAATGGTGGTGGGGTGCAGCTTTTCTCTAAGCGCAGTTACTCACTCAGGACAAAGGAGGAAAAGGAAGGCAGAGGTCGGCCAGGGTAGAGCATGGTGTGTGTTTTCCTTGGGGAACATGAGCTGATGAGCTGGGTCCAGGACCATGCTAGGTCTGGGAACAGTCCCCCCGAGCTCTTCACACAGAGTGTCACCAATCCACAAACAGACCCGAAGTGAGCTAGTGTACTCTGCCTACCTGTCCTTTTGATAGAGCAGTCTTGCCCGCTCCTCTGTTCTGAGAATGCACCCAGAATGGGGGAAACCCAGCAAGCATCAGAGAGAAAGGCTCTTCTCAGGAGACCTGCCACCTCTAGGGTGGTCAAAGAATGGCAGCTGGGATTTTGGAGAGGGGAGAGGATAGGTAAAGCAGCGTATTGAAGCATTGGCGAAGGGGCGTATTAGTCCTCCCATCCTGAGCACACCGGGATTGGGATGCATCCTTGCCTTGTGTGCTTGTGAAGGCTTCTTTCGCTCGGTACAGCAACTTCAACTGCACCTGAACCTCCAACCTCTGCCCAGCCTCTGGTGCAGGGTGGATAGAGGTCTAGTCAACCCTTACTTTCTGAAGAGAGCTCTGTGGGAGACTTGAGGCTACGGTAGCCTTCATGGCTCCCAGCTCCTACCCCACCCCACCAAAGCAGAAACGGGAGACGGCAACGTTCTAGCTGCCATTAGACTTGCGTCTCCCTGCCCTACGTACCCCAGCTTCCAAGACAGGAAGAAATGTGCAAAAGGCCCCTCCGGAGAAAACTGTATTTTGCCATTCAGCTGTTCTTTACACAGGGTGTTATTTTGGTGAGACCCAGGTCCCAGACCTTCTGGTTCCTATTTATTTTTTTAACAGACTAGTCTCGAAGTACAGCACAAAATCTCTTCTCTGCCTTCTCTCGTGATGTTCCAGAGAGCATCTGTGGTTGTGATTTGGAATAAGTCATATTTATTTGGTTTACTGTGCCTGTTCAGATCTCTCTATGTCGTGTGTGTTTCTGTGTCCTGGAATTGGATGCGTGGGAGTTGTTCTGTCCACGGAGTGCACTCTTTTTTTTTCAATGTGGCCCACATATCTTGTAAATGTTTGCTGAAGAGTTGTGTCTATATATAGAGAAAATATATATAAACAGAAATATGTGAATCTGGTTTTTTTTGTCTTTTTTTTTTTTTTTACTTTGAAAGAAAGAAATGCTTGCTTCTGAATACTGTGTCTTCCCACTCACACCCCAGTAACCCTATACGGGGTCAGATTTTTGTAATATCTACCTGGCCTTTTCCCCAAAAAGGTGAATCACTTCTGACCTCTTGTATGAGTTGGCTCTTACCACAATTAATGCTGCATTACAAATGACCCAAAACGTAGTGGTTTAAAACAGCCATGTATTTAGCTCATAATTCTGTGGGTCAGCAGTCCAGGCTGTGTTCAGCTGGGAGGTTCTTCTGTTCTTAGTCAGACTTCTTCATGTGTCTGTGGTCAGCTAATGTCCAGATAGGCAACTCTGCTTCTGATGGTTGTCTGGCTGTTGACTAGGGCAGTGGGGGAAACTGGGTTCTCCATCTCCTATCCTCCAACAGGCTAGCTTAGGCTTGTTTACATGGCTATGATGGCAGATCCCAGAAAGTAAGCAGAAACATGCGCTGCCTCTTGGTCTCAACTTCTCTGGCATAGTCATTTCTGCCACATTCTGTTGGTCAGAGAAAGTCACATGACTAAGCCCAGCTTCAAAGGGTAGGCAAATAGATTGTACTTCCTGATGAGAGTCTTTGGAAAGTGATACTGAAAAGGAACATGGGCCAGGCACAGTGGCTCACCCCTGTAATCCCAGCACTTTGGGAGGCCAACGCAAGAGGATCACTTGAAGCCAAAAGTTCAAGATCAGCCTGGGCAACATAATGAGACTCCATCTCTCCAAAAATAAAAAATTAAAATTAGCTGGATGTGGTAGCATGTGTCTCTGGTCCCAGCTACTCAGGAGGCTGAAGTGGGAGGATCACTTGAGCCCAGAAGATAGAGGCTGCAGTGAGACAAGGTCATGCCACTGTGTCTCAGCCTGGGTGACAATGCAAAATCCTGTCTCGAAAAAAGAAAAGGAGCATGGATCCAGGCTGAGAGATAATTGAGGCCATTTTTGCAAAGAGTCTGCCACATTCCCAAAGGCCCAGTGCACAAGAGGGGTTCCCAGTCAGCCATTTGACCTGAGGGCATAGCTCTAAATTAACACTTCCCTGAATCCCGACTGCTGAGCTAGCTCATTTCTCACCTCCGATGCTCCCAAAGACAACGAGTTCATTCCCCCAACATCGCTGGTTCTCACTCATGGCTGCCGTTCAGAACGATAGTCATCAGGCAGTGAGCACTGTGCACAGATCTCCACCTCCATCAGTCTCTAAACATGACTGAGGAAAACTAGTTTTCAGCTATGGAAGCACAGCCTGATTTAATATAATGAGCAGCATCAAAACCTCAGGGTTTTTTGGTTTGTTTGTTTGTTTGTTTGTTTTGAGACGGAGTCTCACTCTGTCACCCAGGCTGGAGTGCAGTGGCATGATCTCCGCTCATTGCAAGCTCCGCCTCCCGGGCTCACGCCATTCTCCTGCCTCAGCCTCCCGAGGAGCTGGGACTACAGGCGCCCGCCACCACGCCCGGCTTATTTTTTGTATTTTTTTAGTAGAGACGGGGTTTCACTGTGTTAGCCAGGATGGTCTCGATCTCCTGACCTCGTGATCCGCCTGCCTCGGCCTCCCAAAGTGCTGGGATTACAGGCATGAGCCACCGCGCCTGGCCAAAACTTCAGGTTTGGAATAGAAAAAGATTTCCAACTAAGCCAGCAAAGTAGAGGAGGAGTTCGCAGGTGGCATTGGCTGCCTGGGTGTGCCACATCACCACTTCCTTGGAATATTCCCAGCAGAGGCAGGAATGAAACCCACAGCAGCCGGCAGGTGGGGGCTCTTTTAGTTGGAACATATGCTTCCTCCTGGGGGAAACGTCTCAGAGCAAATAATGGTCCTGATGTTGCCACTGTCCCTTGAAGCCTCCAGTCTCCTTTCTCTGACTTCAACCTGAACTCCGTCCATGGGCTCTCCTCCTGGAGGGCGCCACTGTCGTTTGCAGCTGCCTGGCATGGCCAGACCTGGGGAGTGCTGGGCACCTGTTGTGTGTGCATAGATGCCTGGTCGTATGCACTATTGGCCTTTGATCATTGGCAATATATTTCACAGGGAAAAAAATCCTAAGATAGCATTTTTGCTTTTGTAAAGGCTTTTCTAAACACATGCACTTGACCCACGCGCAGTGGCTCACACCTGTAATCCCAGCACTTTAGGAGGCCAAAGTGGGCAGATCACCCAAGGAAGGTCAGGAGTTCAAGACCATCCTGGCTAATATAGTGAAACCCCATCTCTACTAAAACTGCAAAAAAATTAGCCGGGCGTGGCGGCGGGCACCTATAACCCCAGCTGCTCAGGGGGCTGAGGCAGGAGAACCACTTGAACCCGGGAGGCGGAGGTTGCAGTGAGCGGAGATCGCGCCACTGCACTCCAGCCTGGACAACGAGCAAAACTCCATCTAAATAAATAAATAAATAAATAAATGCACTTGAACTTTGCATAGACACGAAAAGATAGGTCTTGGTCATGAGGCACATTTTCACGACTCGGTGGGGCTGAAGAAGTAAGTAGTCTTGGTTTCCACGGGCACCTGTAGTTGGCATTGTGGCCCCTGCTCTTCTCCTCTTCATCCCCCTTTCCTCCACCTCTTTCTCTTTTCCTTCCCCTTCATCATATTTCTCTCCTCCTCCCCCTTCTCTCTCCCCTTCTTTTGCCTCCTCTCCTTATAGCAAAGAGCACTTGGATAGTGTCTGTGCTCACATTTTCTACCTGAATGATGTTGGTCTTATACAGAGCAAGACTGCAGTGTGAAGGCCTTTCTGGATGCTCCAATTTCTTCTTAAACCATCTGCCATTTCCTTTTCTCCTAGAATTTCCTTTTGGCTTACAGGAGAGAACTTGGGGCAGTTGAGAAGCAC